CGGCTTTCCTGGCAACAATGGCGGATTTCCAAATGGCAACACAGGTTACCCGTGGAACAACAATGGAGGGGTGCAAGGCAATAACGGAGGCTTTCCCAATAACAATGTAGGTCAACCATGGTCTGGAAACAACAACGGATATACTGGCAGCAATGGTGGATTCTCAGGAACAGGACGTCCCTTCCCTGGCAGCAGTGGAGGATTTTCGGGAAGCAACGGAGGATTCCAAGGGGGCAACCAACTGGTTCCAGGAAACAATGGTGGTTTCCCGGGAAGCACTGGCGGCAATGGCGGTTTCCAAGGTGGAAATGGTGGATTTCAAGGCGGCAGTGGGGGAAGTTTTGGAAACAACGGCCGTTTTCCCAGCGGAGGGCAGCAAGGATTCAATGGAGGTTTCCCAGTGAATCAGGGAGGAAACCAGGTCTCAAGTGGCGGTTTTCCCGGAAGTAATGGCTTCCAAGGACCTACGTACCCATCGAATGGAAACTCATTTTCTGGATCTGGCAATGGATTTTCGCCTAATACCGGCTTCCAGAATGGACAGAACCCAAAGAGGCCTATCTTTGGTCAAGCAAGCAACTTCCAGCAGGACAGCCGTTCTCGATTCTGAGAGATATATCACTTTATAAAATATGCTGTAAAAATAAATTTATGCCCATATTTGTTGTTCTCGTTCGGTTACTTCTCTCTCGTTTAGACATATAATCAAGTGTTACCTTGTTGAAAGCGCGCCGCAAGAAAGCAGAGTGTATTGTAGAATGCGAAACGGTTATCCGTAGAATTCAAGATATGCCGCTTTCGGAGGGCAATAGAAGAATGGTGGCTCACAATAAACACCTCATCTGTAAAATCCGTCCCTCACTGCGCTTCACTCATAATTGTTTTGAAGTTGTTGAGCCTTAATCTCCACTGATGATCTCTAGGCCACCGGATTGCTCGGCGCAAGATCGCTATCTTGAAACCGTGTTCCACTAACAGCGAATATGCTGCTAATAAAGAGGGAGCCTTATCCAGACTGTTGTTTTCTTACCTAGCTGTATACCTTGTACTTCTATTTTCATTCCGTGATAGATTCCTACACCAGTGTGATCGTGGAAAGAATGGAGGCACAGCTCAAGGCGGAGAGTTTAGGTAGATCTCTCCCTCTGATCGACAGAACAAAACTTGCGTATGTGGTGATA